TGGACTTCCTTGAATGATATAGAATGGTCAAATCATAGTACTTTAATAACTCAAGCCATCTAAGCTGCCTTAATTTCAGATCCCTCTAACTAAAGATGTACTGAAGACTCCGATGATCAGTGAAGATGTCACAATGCACCCCATACAAATAATCACGCCACAACTTAAGTACAAATACCACAACTACCAAATCCAAAACAGGATTAGGGTAGTTCTTATCACGGGACTCCAACTGCCTAGAAGCATAAAGCAATCACTTTCCCCTTCTGCATCAACACACCATGTCCCACGAATGCCACAGATTTAAGCCAGAATTAACACTTTGAGAACTTGGCATACAACTTCTCTTCACTCAATCTCTGAAGTACAATTATCAAGTGTCAAATAGGGTCTTTGTCAGTCCTGGAGTAAACCAAAATTCCATTGTAACATCTCGCAGCAATAAATTGGAAATAGCTATTTTTGGAAATAAATTGAAAATATGGAAATTTGGTAAATAAGTTAATGTAAATTTCTGCTAAATTTAAATGGTCATAACTTCTAGCTTAGGATAAGTTAGGTGTACTTCAAGGTATGGTTGGAATCCGTTGGAACAATCTTTCCAACGCTGTCGAGTTTGCACGATTCCGAGCTCTAACGATCGAGTTATGCCTTTTGGAAGTTGGGTTGTTGGTAAGGAAAGTCCCCAATGGAAATTGTGAACGTAGATCGATCTTTTCCTTATCCAACTTAATTAATCTATTTTTTGGTAATACTTTTAGGGGCTAAGCTAATAGAATTCAGTTTACACCTTTAAAAATTAAAGTTAAGGTTTTTAGAGAAAAAACACAAGAGAAAAAAGAAGAGGAAAAGCAAGATTCATCATTTCGAAAAGATTTGATCCCACCAGGTATGTGAGTCTTTTAGTGTTGGGTTCATTCACCACGCTCCAAACATGTTTAGTTCAGCGCAACTCGTCCTTAATGAGGTTTAAAGTTGATGCTCTTGACATGAATTATTGAAATCGAATGTTGTTCTTTAATTGGGTTGAATTGTTGAGTTTTTGAGGTCTTTAGATTGATTTATATAGTTTCTTTTAAGTAAGATTCGTGAGTACTACTTCTAGGTATAGAAATTGTCATGCTCCAAGCCTATACCCTGGGTAGGACTAGTAACCGAAGACCATTGCAAACCTCGAGCGGTCCCTTGGCCTGACTTACTTAATTAGTGGAAGACAATAGACATAGTTATATAATGATCAATAACTCATTAAACTGATAAAATTGAGAATGTTTTAAAGAGTAAACATTCAAGAGGCCAAAGGTGGCAACCCAAGTTTTAACAAATAGAAAGATAATGAAAAGTCTAAAAAGTTAAAATCTGATTGTCTATATATGAAGCCACTAAAGCTTAGATGGATGTTAGGATAGACCCCACAACATCCTAATAAAAAAATACTAAAAGCAATAAAAAGAGTCCTCCGAAATGCTAGGAATCTTACCAACTTACTCTAGAATGCTCAACTAGATCAACGGTGTGCTGGATGTCGATCCTCGTTACATTCGTTTGCATCATGAGACGATATAGGCCAACTGATATAAGTACATTGAATGCACGAGTATGCGAGTTGGCATGCTAAAACAACTTAAGCTTGAAAAAGATAAAAAGGAACACTTACCTTGGCTCTGCTCAACTCATGAAATACCATGACTCGATATAACTAATTCATTTCAATATAAAGTAATTTAAAAGCAAGTGCAATACAAAGAAAAGTTGTTAGAGAACATGTTGTAAACTTTGAATTTATATAAAGATATTAACTCTGAGATGTACGTAAAAATACAATAAATTTATATGTGTGTATATATATAAATACATTTAACGTCTGTGCGAGTTTCTCTAACCGAAAACCATCACTTAAGAGCTATAGTGATGATACAACAATCAACCTAACACTGCCAGCGCATCATATACCTGACCAAAGGTATAAGACCTGAATTTCCTAATGGATCCACTAGTCTATTGTGAAAAGGGTTCAATAAAAAAGTATGACTCATTTCAACCTGTGGTGGCTTCATGGTATTGGAGATGTGACTTATCTGAATTCATGCTAGTCTCCACTTCGGTGCTCAATACTACTCCCAAAATATACTGACTCTTATCTTTTTAAAATATACTTCTTCTATGATTTAAGATTACTGCTCAAAGCTTAGCTCAAAGGCTATCTTGGAAATCTTAGTTTCCCTGCTTGCTTCAATTTATAAAGCTATTATTCTTTTCTGAAAACTAGCCCGAAGGCTCTTTGGAAATTTCAGTTTCTATTCTTATTTAAATGTGAAGATATTTTAAATCTCTTGGGAAATACGTAGTCCCCATATACTTTTGAAGAAATAAACTTTAACTTTAATCTTTACTCTTCACTCTTTACTTAGCTTGAAACTTGAGTCTTTGAGCAAAGTTAAGATATTGTTAAAGACCCTTGAGAACTCTTAAAAACTTTGTTTTGACTTGCTTCTTAACTTCAAAACTTGACTCTTAACTTGTTTGACTTTAATCTTAGCTTTTCTTAAATTGAATTATGGGTACAAGGTTCATTATATCATGTTTATGGATGATTTTATGATGTTTATATGTACCTTAGAGTGTTGGAATCAACAAAGAAACATGGCTACATCACTTAGAAACTAGTACGAAAGAGTGGGGAATGAATGGGGTGAACTAACGTCCTTGGCGCTCTGAGAGGCGTAAGGTGCCAGGCCCCAAACTTCAGAAGCCAAGCTGGGGTGCGGAAAGAGATTGTCCCATGGGTCCATGGGAGGCGCGACACTCCAAAGCCCTATACACAGGCTTTCTCAACTTTTTCCTCCGTTTATTTATCTCAAAACCCTCTAAACTTCCATGGTTCTTTTCCCCAAACACTTAGGATCATTACTAACCTCAATACCTAATAGATTTGACCCAAAAAATAACCCGGAAAAACAAGTCAAATCAACACTAGGCATGCAACAACTCAACCAACAAGAATTCAACAATGTTCTTCAAGAACTTCACTTTTTATCAATCAACCAACTCGAAAATCAATGAATTGAAAAAAGATTGGTATGTGGATGAATTGAACTGACACTAAAGGATCTCACATACCTTGATAGGGATCACCCCGATGAATTCCACTCGCAAAGCTTGACGTTCACTAGAAAAAATAGCATTAGCGACTGATTAAATTCGTTGCTAATGTATGTTGTTCCGTCGCTAAACATGATTTGTGACAGCTTTGCGATGCATTGTTTGTTGTTCCTATTTTTCTCATTAGTAATCTGTCAACGATGAAAAAATAAATCCATCGCAAATTTAGTGACGCATTAGAGACAAATGATATCCTTTGTCAGTCGTTACTGACAGACTGGTTCGTCCTTATACTTATGTAGTTCGTTGCTAATTTCATAATTAATTTCATCGCTTCAAATAAACTAGCGAAGAAATTTACAGAAATTCCGTCACAAAATATTATGTTATTTTTAGCCTACATATTTGCCACTAAAATGTTCCGTTGCTAATCTATCACCAATATTTTTTTATAGCGGCAACCAAATTGTCATTTAATTTGTTGCTAAAACATTACTAAATACCTCTAAAATAACAAATATTCATATAAAATAATATTTACAGGGTTTAAAAGCTTGTAGATAGCAAATTCCAAATCACATACTTTCGGTGCAAAACATCAAAAACAAACTATCAACTTTCTTAAGAGAACTTACATTCATCAAATATTGTCATAGTACAATTTGAACTTCTCAAAAAGACAGTCAACTAAAATATTAAAGCTATAGGAGACTAATTAAGAAATACCCTCATCACTTGAAACTACGAGATCAACCTCCTCCTCATTAGTAGTAGCAATAGGCACCATCGGTGCCACCAGTGATGGATTGTCAGTGGGAGTAACCAGTTCTTGTACCCTCTCCATATTAACCGGAAGAAAAATTTTAATAATGGAAGGAATCGTTTCCTTCAAAAACACATTCATATTTCATGTCGATGTTGATTGTGAAACTGAAGGTGCTGCAGAGGATGAGGCACAAATATTCTGAATCTAGTAAGTTTTTGCTTCAGATCCAAGACCGTACATTCTTTTCCTCTTTTCTCCCCTGGCAGTTTGGTAGTATGCTTCACATTGATCAATATCAGACTGAGAGGTTGTTATCTCCCATAATATTTCTTCATGTTTTTACTGTAAATAGAAAATATTAAAGATCTCAATAAAATTAAAAGGGAAGGAATAGGCAGAAACATACATAAGCCTTTGAGCTTAACTAAATGTGTTATACTCTTTAGCCAACTTACAATACATTAAAGCTTAGATTAAAGTTGTAAGTTACAGTTGTGACAACACAATATTCAAAAAAATATTCATGTCCCCAAAAAACACATGAAGAAACAAGTTAGAAAATTTAAATGAAACGAGAGTTTCCGTCATACCGACTAAGCAGCAGACTCAACTTGCTAGCTCAAAGGTTGGAAAACGCATGAAACATTCTTGTAGAATGCACAAGTTTGGTAGAAATAAATTTTTCTATTGGAGATCTTGAAAAGCCAGTTTTGTTGAATCAGAAGCACTACGGAAATTTAAGACTCTAGCAAAGAGAAGTCAATTCGGAAAGCTTGAAAATTTCATTCTTTCAGGGTGCTCAAAGTTAAAAACATTCCCAGAAATAGAAGAAAAAATGAAGTTTGATTCACAATATTTCATGAACTTGTAAAAAATAAAAAACACACCTCCATGGTTGATTCATTATTGAAGAAGATGCACAAGGTAAGAACACTTGCAAACCACAACATAAAGAATATCAAATGACTGGAGAGGCTTTTGTATTTGTACTCCAAAAAACATTCATTTCACGGTGCATGCAAGTTCAATTCAATAATTAACGCTTATATGATGCATTACAAAAATAGATAGAAGCTTATATCTAGTTTCTTCATCTGACTAGATCCAGGAAAAAGTAAACTTGATGATGTAGTATATTTTCTGTATTACATGACAGTGACACTACAGTTTGTTCCATTTCCTGATAATTTAATCAATAAACTAACAAGAAAATAGGGAAGAAAATTGAGAAAGAAATGAAAAAGAAAAGAGGATGCCAAGAACCAAGATTACATGAAGTCTACTTTGCAAGAGTCTGCAGAGGATTATGATAAACCTGAAAAAGAAATACATTTGCATGTCTTAATACTACCTCCAACAGCATAAATCAAAATCAGTTACCCTTTTCTTAAAAAAAAGCATAAACAAACAACATAAACCGATCATATATTCATATACTACTTCCAAAACCATAAACATACCATATATCTCAATACTACTTTCAACAAGATTTATATGTCTTAATACTACTTCGAACAACATAAACCAACCAAATCTTCATATATTCCAACAACATAAACCAACCATATCTTGATATACTAGAAATGAAATTAACCATTATGATAGACCTAAAAAAGAAATATCTTTTTGCATTTTCTAAGTTTTAGACTTACATGGACAATTCGAGAGTGTTCACCAACAAAAAATTTTCCATCATGAACATGCATATGGATGTGCGTGCAAATGTAAGTCACTTAATGTTAGATCTTGAACCATTTCAATTGCCCTTACAAAAGAAAATTCAAATCACTTTTCTGATACAAAAATATCTATTGCATAATATGTATTTAGATACAAGAGTATATATCAGACAACCTAAAGATTCTACTTATATAATTTGTGAAATATATACTTACAAGTTTATTGTGATGTTCTCCAATTGAGATAGCGCCACCTGTGTGAGTCCCAGCAGCAACTTCATGACTATCACAACGATTCTTTGCATTTGTTTATAACTTTTTAATAGACTCCTCACTTCCCCAAAGTTGTGTCCATTTTTCCCAAAAATGCTCAGGTACGAAACCTGGCCTAACTCCTCCCCATTGTATTTTAGAGATAAAATTTCTGTATTTTACGACCGCCTTGACCAACCAATGTCTCTTCACTTCACTTTCACTAATAAAAATGTCCCAATCGATTTTTTCTGAAATTTTTTTTGAAAGTAAATATATCAATATCCTATCTTCAAGTATGAATACACTTTCCAAACTTATTTATGATGAAAATTAATACCTTAAATTCTCCAAAGTAACCATCTTTTACATTGTTTGAAACACTTTTCCAATTGACTCTATAGGATCAACATCGTTCCTGAAAGACTTGGTTATGAAACTAGAGAATATTATAGAAGGTTCCAAGTTGTGTCAATTTGAAGACATTATTTTGGGGTAATTGGAGGTGCCTCTGAGATAGTTGGGATGTTACTTTGACCTAATGTTTCAACAGTTGGGGTACCACCTTGTTGAGGAGAAACTATAGTGGCATAGGAATAGTTGGCATGCTTACATGAATCTCAGGACTACTCCTACCAAAGAACTTCCCATGAGCTCTGCCTCGATCCATATCTATAAGAAGATATAAGAGTGTAGTTGGCTTCCTAAAAAATGTACTACCATGTCTAAATAAAGAAACTTTCAGTGATGTTGAACTACAAACACAATAGGCATGGAGATACTTATCCAATATCAGAACAAAATACAGTCATACCCACATAATATCATGTTTTATAAGAATGAAAGAAGAGTATCAAATGACTATCACAAAAAAAAGCAAGTAAATTTTTTTTCATAGTGTGATATTTTTCCCTTGTGTATGCTTTTACATACATATTGGATATATCATGTGAATGAGTCCATTTAACATGATTCATAAGATATTTCATCGGAAAAAACTCTCAGTATTTTTTTGCACACATTAGTTGTCATCAATTCAAAAATATGGAGATAAAAATTACACTACACTATGGAATGGAACAACTCAACTCGAAGAGAGAAAGCAAGAAAAGGGCTGAAACATGAAGGTTCATCAATCAATTAATCAACATCAACCACATATCATTCGCAGCTTAATTGAGATAGCTTCTAGTTGGGTTAGCTATTTATCCGTATAGAGTAGATGAACATAAATATATTTTATAAGAAGAATCACCAAATAAAACTCAATCTCAAATGGTAAGAATTTCAGCTAAAATGAAAAAAAAATATTTTTCTTTTGCAAATACCACTTCCACACCTTTCAAGAGATCACAAAACCATAGCACAATATTCTAGAGGAGATGAACATATATGAAAAAGAGAAATTAACTTTCACTTGAAGCAGCAGAAGAGTGGAAACATTTCTCATATAAGGATGACGGAGACGGAGAGCTGAGACGACGGGAGCTGAGACGACGGAACTGAGACGGCTTAAGCTAAGAAAATAGGAGCTGAGATGGAGAGTTGAGGAAGAAAACCCTACTTTTTAGGGAAAAGGTTTTGTAGATTCCTATTTTGTTATGAGATTAAGAAAGGTCCCAACTTAGTTAAAATAATTTTGCAACAAACTCAGTGACTGATTATGACATCCATCGCTAATAAATAATAATATATATTTAGATTAAATTTTAGCAACGGTTTTTTCCTTTACTATATAATTAAAATTTTATAAAAATACATTTATAAATCTAGCAACGCTTTTCCGTCACAAATTCCGTCACGGGATATTAATAAATTTTTTCACACCTACTTTGTTGCAAAATTCGTAGCGAAAATTCGGGCGCCAATTTTTCTTGCTATTTTTTAGCAACCAAAAAAATGTTGGGTCACCAATCCGTCGCTATATTATAACTCAAAAAATAATTAGTAATTTTTGCAACAGAATAACTATTAAGTTTCTAATTCGTTGTTATGTAGTGACAAAATATAGTTAGTCGCTAATATCCATTGCTAAACACTATTTTTTTAGTAGTGTTCTCGGCGCATTCTTGACTTCTCTCCCTTTCTTTCTTCTTTTCTCTCTTCTCTAATTCATAAGCATAATCATAACTTTTCCAAACTGATCTAAGACATGTTTTTTACCCCAATAAACCCTTAAAATAAAATAGAAAATTAATTGGTGAAAAGACTAGTTTGTCCTTCCCTAAATATGGATTAGGACTTTCTTCAATCCAACAACCCAACTTTCGAAAGTCATCAATCACTCATATGATATTAAATCGCAAAAACTAGGTGGCATTGGAAAGATTATTCCAATATGTTTCCAATCATATCCATAAGCACTTGTATATAATCCTGAGCTAGAAGTAATGTATGTATAAAAATGACTAAAACTCACTCTCTTATACATTCTTAGCTATTTCAAGTTGCGAGATATTACAATATATCCCCCTTGGTAACATTCGTCCTCAAATGATATTTCTTTCAGTAAGCTAAGAATAGTAACCTCAAGTTCAACACCCAACAACAAAAGTAAGTAACAACATGCTTACTCATAATTTTGATAGTACTAAGAAGAAAACTACTACCTTGATCTGCATGTCCTATGGATTCAATGAGATGTGGATATATCTTATCCATATACTCTTCAGCTTCCCAATAACTTCTTCAAAAAATTGGTTCCTCCATAGGACCTTGACTGATGCGACCTCCTTAGTTCTCAACTTGTGAATTTGACCATCTAAAATCTAAACCGGAATATCCTCGTAAGATGAGTTATCTTTGATCCCAACATTCTCAGTTGGAATGATCAATGAAGGGTCACCTAAGCACTTCTTCAACATGGAGACATGAAATATAGGATAAACCGCTACTAACTCTTGTGGTAACTCTACTCATAAGCTACATTGCCAATTCTCCTAGATGTTATATAAGGTCCAATATATTGAGGAATACATTTCCCCTTCTTACCAAACCTCATAACACACTGAGTATGGGTTGAAGTTCACCCAATTATGTTGTTATGCTCCAGAAATGGTTAAGAACATGAGGATTAGAATGAGTTTGTTTGTTGCAGATTTAGGTCGTCTATCAAGCAAAGAGGGTTGGGCAGAAATGCTTATTGGGGACATAGACATTCCATTTTTGATGATCTATGTACAGTAGGTAAAGGAAGAAAAGTTGAGATATAGAGAGGAGTTCAAAAACAAGAGGTCTAAGAAAGGGAATGAGTCTGGGTAGCAGAAGAGTAATGCCAATCGATCATCTTTCCAACACAAACAGAAGGTTCCTAATTCATCCGCTGCTAGTGCACCTGCACCTAAGAACAAGGGTGGTACTACGGTCAAAATTCAAGATTTAAACCTGCATATTCATAGGGTAGTGTGGCACAGGGGGATAGTAAGTCTCCTGCTTGCGCCATGTATGGTAGGAACCACTCACGAATTTGTCACGAGGGATCCAATGGTTGTTTCAAGTGTGGTCGGACTGGGCATTTCATGCGAGAGTGTACAAAGAACAAGTAGGGAAATAATAGTAATGGCAATAGATCCCAATCTTCATCAGTTGCTCCACCATACAGAGCAACACTTAGAGGAGCTACTTCTGGAACTAGTGGAGGAACAGACCATTTGTATGCTCTCCACAAATGCCAAGGCAAAGAGGATTCACCATATGCTATGACTGGTATGATTCATGTCTTTGACCTTACTTTTTATGCATTTCTAGACTCAAGAGTGACTTTATCTTTTGTAACTCCACGTGTTCCTATGAACTTTGATATTATTCGTGAGAAACTTAGTGAACCATTCAGTATTTCTAAACCTATTAGTGAGTCCATTTTAACAGAGAGAGTCTATGGTGATTGTCCCATTTCCATTAATCACAAGAGTACCGTGGTTGATTTAATTAAGTTAGACATGGTAGAATTTGATGTCATTCTTGGTATGTATTGTCTTCATTCCTGTTGTGCCTCAATTGATTATAGAACACAAGTTGTCAAGTTTCGGTTTCCAAATGAGCTAGTCTTAAAGTGGTAAAGAAGTTTAGCAGTGCCTAAGGGTCGTTTTTAATTTCGTACTTTAAGGCAAAGAAGTTAGAATCTAAGCAGTGTATCTATCAGTTAGTCTGGGTTAATGACTCAACTTTTGAGGTATCTCTTATTCAGTAGTTCAAGTAGTTTTTCAAAATTCTTTCCAGATGATCTTTTTGGAGTCCCTCTTGAGACAGAGATAGACTTCGATATATATCTTCTTCCAGATACTTGTCTTATTCCTCCATATAAACTGGCACCACCAGAGTTCAAATAGTTGAAAGAGTAGTCGAAAAAGCTTTTAGATATTGTCTTTATTCTACCTAGTGTCTCAGCTTGGGACGCTTCATTTTTGTTTGTGAGAATCAAAAGATGGTTCCTTTAGGATGTGTATAGATTACCGTCAGTAGAATTAGGTTACCATCAAGAATAAGTATCCTCTTTCTGGAATTGATGATCTTTTCCATCTGCTTCAGGGTGCTTCTTGTTTGTCCAAGATTGAACTCAAATCAGGCTACCACCATTTTAGAGTAAGGAAGTGTGATATTCCAAAGATATCTTTCACAACTAGATATGGGAATTATGAGTTTTTGGTCATGTCTTCTCGGTTGACCAATGCGCCTGCAATATTCATGGATCTTATGAATAGAGTCTTCATACCTTATTTAAATATGTTTGTTATCGTCTTCATTTATGACATACTAATTTATTTAAGGAATGAAAAAGATCATGATATTCATCTCAGAATAGTTCTTCAGACTTTGAAGGATAAATATTTATATGACAAGTTCTCTAAGTGTGAGTTTTCTCTTGAGTCTTTGGCATTCTTAGGTCACATAGTTTCCGGTGATGGTATTAGAGTAGATACCTGGAAAATTGAAGTAGGGTATTATTGGACTAGACCCACATATCCAACTGATATTAGGAGTTTCTTGGGTTTGGCTGGATACTATAGAAGATTTGGAGAAGGTTTCTTGTCTGTTTCATCTCCTTTGATGAAGTTGACTAAATACCAATCAAGTTTCAATAGTCTAAAACTTGTGAGAAAAGCTTTTAGGAATTGAAGAAGGGGTTGAATACTGCCTGAGTATTGACTTTATCGGAAGTAACTTAAGGCTTTGTGGTGTATTGTGATGCATCTAGAGTTAGTTTGGGTCGTGTTCTCATGCAGAAATGGCAAAGTTATAGCTTATGCATCCACATAGTTGAAGGTTCATGAGAAGAACTATCCAACCCATGACTTTGAGTTGTTTGATGTGGTATTCACTTTGACAATATGGCGACATTATTCTTTTGGTGTTCATGTTGATGTATTCTCTGATCAAAAGAGCTTACAATATATTTTTCACCCAAGAGAGCTTAATCTCAGAGAAATGAGGTAATTAGAATTGCTCAAGGATTTTGACATGACTATTTTTTACCATCCAGGCAAGACTAATGTTGTTGTTGATGCCTTAAGCAGGTTGTCTATGGGTAGTACCACCCATCTTAAGAAAGTGAAGAAAGAACTAGCAAAAGATGTGCATAGACTTGCACGCTTGTAAGTCCGACTAATGGATTCCACAGAAGGGGGAATAGTGATGAAAAATGGGGTTGAATCATCATTAGTATAAGAAATGAAAGAAAAACAAGGCCAAAATTCCATTTTGCTTGAGTTGAAGGCGATTATTCAAAAGCAAAGAGTATTAACTTTTGAACAAGGTGTAGATACTGTAATAAGATTTCAAGGTAGATTCTGTGTACCTATGGTTGATGGACTCCAAGAGAGGATCATGGAGGAAGCTCATATCTCCATATATTCCATTCAACCAGGTTGCACAAAGTGTTTCCTAATGATTTGTCTTGTATTCCTATTGATAGGGATATTGATTTATATATTGATTCTCGTCCCATTTCCATCCCTCAATGTCGTATGGCTTTGGAAGAATTAAGAGAGTTTAAGGCTCAAATCCAAGAAATTTTTGATAAAAGGTTCATCCATCCTAGTAATTTCTTGTATGGTGCTCCTATCTTATTTGTTAAGAAAAATGATGGAAGTATGAGGATATGTATAGATATTTGGAATTGAATAGGGTCATTATTCGGAACAAGTATCTATTGCCTCGAAAAGATGATTTTTTAACCAATTGCAAGGTGCATCAGTTTCCTCTAAGATTGATCTAAGGTCTAGGTACCATCAGTTGAAGATTAGGCCTGAGGATGTTCCCAAGACAACGTTTAGAACCCGTTATGGGCACTAAGAAATTCTTGTTATGTCATTTGGGTTGACTAATGCATCTGCACCTTTTGAGAGTTTGATGAATGGTGTGTTCAAACATTTTCTTGATTCATTTTTTATAGTCTTTATTGATTACATTTTGTTCTATTCAAAATGTGAGGAAGAGCATGTCGATCATTTTCGTATTGTTGTAGGTGTTCTTGGGAAACAAAGGTTGTACGCTGAATTTTCTATGTTTGAATTTTGGTTGACTTCAGTTGCTCTTTTTGGGCATG